AAAAGGCACAAAGCTACACAAAGAAACCCTGTCTCGAAAAACCAAAACAAACAAACAAGCAAATAAATAAAATGTTCTTCACCACCTTGATACCCTCATTTCTGGAAACACACAAGCATTTCACCCTCTAGTTCTCAACCTTCGTCAGGTTGTGACCATCTGATGCACTTCCTCAGGTTGTGGAGAACCTGCACAGGAAATTTTTTCCCTTGCTAAGTGATAACAGTCATTTTTCACGGTTTATGAATTATAATATCTATGTTTTGAGAAGGTGTTAGGTGAACCCGGTGAAAGACATTCCTAGGATTCCCAGATGGGTCATTACACCCCTATTGAGAACCACTGTTTTCATGGGTATGTGATAGTAAATTAGACTATGGAGACAAAAATCAGAAAAAGACCTACTTGAGTCAGAAAAACACAAACACACACAAATGAAGAGAATAAATGTTAGAGAATCATGCAGTAGCTAATGTCAACACGAACCTACCAAACACACACACAAAACACACACAAACATACACACACACAAACACACACAAAAACACAAACAATCATACACACCCCAAAATAAATGAAATTGAAACCATACAGAAGCACAACAATGCCAGCAGATTACTCTGCATGCAGGCATAATGACTGGGAATCCATTCCAGAAAACACAATTGCCAGCAAAATGCTTGACTACAACCAACGTGATGAAGCACACTCAGGGAAAGATCATTAGACATGGTTCCAATTTTAATTTCAGCAGTGAAACTCAGATCCACCTATCACATGCCAGAACTCAGGCAACCTCAATGAAACTGAGCAAATGAGAGTGAAACACTTCTTTCCTGGTCTGTTTTTAATCTTGGAATTCATAATTTAAAGGAACTCAGCACAGCCTCTTTTGTGTCAGAAGACGGCATCATTTGAAAATGAAGCAAATAACGGTTTTGGGTCTCACACACACTTCACATACACACCAAACAAAAGAATTGTTTTCCTTAACTGAGAAGGTTCATCCTCTACCTTTCCTTTGCAGAAGAGCGAGGAACATATTGGCTCTGGAATACGGTCCTCCAGTGTCAAGACCATCTTGGGGGACCTGGAACTGTCTCCCCTAGATGAGGTAATAATTGATAGTTGCAAAGAAAAAGAAATACATTTACCTTTAATTCCCACTAATTTGACATGTAATATATTTGTTTGTGAGAGGAACGATGTCTCTGTGTTCCTATGTCTGCAGTATTTCAAATAGTGTCAGAGAAGAGGAAGTCAGCCTGGCCCATTTCTTCACCTCCTTCATATCCTCCCTTCTGGGAGCCCACAATCGAATCACCCTGTAAGGCACTAGTTCTCAACCTTCCTAGGGCTGTGGCCATCTGATGACCTATCTCATGTTGTGGTGAACCTGCATAGGAAATTTTTTCCCTTGCTATTTGATAACTGTCATTTTTCGCGTCTTAGGAATTATCATGTCTATATCTAAGTTTTCAGAAGGTGTTAGGTGAACCCCGTGAAAGACAGTCTTAGGGTTTCCAAATGGGTCACTAACCACCTGTTGAGAACCACTCTTTTCATGGGTATGTTTTAGAAAATTAGACTATGGAGACAAAAAACAGAAAGGGAGCTATTTGAATTAGAAAGATACAACCACACACAAATAAAGAGAGTAAACGTTAGAAATCATGCAGTAGATAATGTCAACAGGAACCTACCAAACACTCTTGTATGACTTCAGTGGATTTATTTAAGAGGGGGAAATGTTTTGAATGCATTCTTTCTGTGCACTCTGTTTGTGGTCTGCCCACATATATGCAGGGGTGATTTGGATCCCCTGGCACTGCAGTACCAGAAGGTTCTCAGCCAAGATGTTGGTTCTGCAAATCAAAGCCAGAGCCTCTACCCCAAAAAGTGGTAAACCCTGCTGAGTCATCTTTCCAGACCGCAGAATCAATATGATTCTTATGCATCTGTTCATAAGCAAAGACCAATATGTCCTTAGTATAAACAATGAGTCAGGTTTCAGGGTGGTTGCCAAAATTTTATACCCTAGGCCTCATCAGCCTGCTGGTATGAAACATTGAAATGCAGAGAACTTATCGGCAGGAAGATCATGAATAGGAGGTGGTCTTGTTGGTACACTCCTCTAATCTGTGCACTCATAATGCAGAGGACACGGGTCTCTTTGAGTTCAAGGATAATCTGTTCTCAATTTATTTGGTGAATGGGAAAAGGCAAGAAACTGTTTGCCACAGCAGAATTGTGCAGGTGCAAGGATAATTTTTAGGAGTTGTTTCTATCCTCTCACCATTTCAATCTCAGGGTTCAATTGGAAGTGTCAGTCATGCTGGCAAGTGCCTTTATGACATGAGCCATTTGGTGGCCTTAATATATATGCTTTGAATGTAAATATATCAGCATTAATACACACACACACACACACACACACACACACACACACACTCCCCAAAATATAAAAGAAACTGATACAATACACTAGCACACCATGCCAGCAGATAACTCTGCATGCAGGCATAATGACCCGGGATCCATCCCAGAAAACACAATTACCAGCAAACTGCTTGACTACGAACCATGTATTAAAAATACTCGGGTAAAGATCATTAGACATGGTTCCCATAATACTTCCAGCAATGAAACTCAGATCCACCTATCACATGCCAGAACTCAGGCGAACTCAATGAAACTGAGCAAAAGAGAGTGAAACACTTTTCTCCTGTTCTGTTTTGAATCTTGGTATTCATAATTTAAATAAACCCAGCACGGCCTCTTTTGTGTCAGAAGACGGCTTCATTTGAAAATGAAGCAAATAAGGGTTTTGGGTCTCACACACACTTCACATACACACCAAACAAAAGACTTGATTTCCTTAACTGAGAAGGTTCATCCTCTACCTTTCCTTTGTATAAGAGCGAGGAACATATTGGCTCTGCAATAAGGTCCTCCAGTGTCAAGACCATCTTGGGGGACCAGGAAATGTCTCCCCTAGGTGAGGTAATACCTGATAGTTGCCAAGAAAAAGAAATATATTTACCTTTAATTCCCACTAATTTGACATGTAATATATTTGTTTGTGAGAGGAACGATGACTCTGTGTTCCTATGTCTGCAGTATTTCAAATAGTGTCAGAGAAGAGGAAGCCAACCTGGCCCATTTCTTCACCTCTTTATATCCTCCTTTCTGGGAGCCCAAAATCTAATGACCCTGTAAGGCACTATTTGTCTACCTTCCTAGGGCTCTGGCCATCTGAAGACCTATCTCATGTTTTGGTGAACCTGCACAGGAAATTTTTTCCCTTGCTATTTGACAACTGTTATTTTTTGGTGTTTTATGAATTTTGATGTCTATATCTATCTTATCAGATGAATGTTAGGTCGACCTCGTGAAAGACAGTCCAAGTTTCCCAAATGGGTCACTAACCACCTGTTGAGAACCACTCTTTTCATGGGTATGTTTTAGTAAATTAGACTATGGAGACAAAAATCAGAAAGGGAGCAATTTGAATCAGAAAGATACAACCACACACAAATATAGAGAGAAAAAGTTAGAGAATCATGCAGAAGATAATGTCAACAGGAACATAACAAACAGTCTTGTATGACTTCAGTGGTTTTATTTTAGGGGTGGAAATGTTTTGAATGCATTCTTTCTGTGCACTCTGTTTGTGGTCTGCCCACAGACATCCAGCGGTGCTTTGGATCCCCTGGCACTGCAGTTCCAGAAGGTTTTCTGCCAAGATGTTGGTTCTTGAATCAAAGCCAGTCCTCTGCCCCAGCAAAAAGTGGTAAACCATGCTGAGTCATCTTTCCAGACCCGAGAATCAATATGTTTCCTATGCACCTGTTCATAAGCAAAGACCAATATGTCCTTAGTATAAACAATGAGTCACCTTTCAGGGTGGTTACCAAAATTTTATACCCTAGGCCTCATCACCCTGCTGGTATGAAACATTGAAATGCAGAGAACTTAGGCATGAAGAACATGAATAGGAGGTGGTCTTGTTGGTACACTCCTCTAAACTGTGCACTCATAATGCAGAGGACACTGGTTTCTTTGAGTTCAAGGATAATCTGTTCTCAATTTATTTGGTGAATGGGAAAAGGCAAGAAACTGTTTGCCACAGCAGAAGTGTGCAGGTGCAAGGATAATTTTTAGGAGTTGTTTCTATCCTCTCACCATTTCAATCTTAGGGTTCAATTAGAAGTGTCAGTCATGCTGGCAAGTGCCTTTATGACATTAGCCATTTTTTGGCCTTAATATATATGCTTTGAATGTAAATATATAAGCATTAATACACACACACACACACAAACACACACACACACACACACACACACTCCACAAAATACAAAAGAAATTGATACAATACACTAGCACACCAATGCCAGCAGATCACACCACATGCAGGCATAATGACCCGGGATCCATCCCAGAAAATACAATTATTAGCAAACTGCTTGACTACGAACCATGTGTTGAAAATACTAGGGTAAAGATCATTAGACAGGGTTCCCATTTTATTTCCAGCAATGAAACTCAGATCCACCTATTTCATGCCAGAACTCAGGCGACCTCAATGAAACTGAGCAAAAGAGAGTGAAACACTTTTCTCCTGTTCTGTTTGAATCTTGGTATTCATAATTTAAAGGAACACAGCACAGCCTCTTTTGTGTCAGAAGACGGCTTCATTTGAAAATGAAGCAAATAACGGTTTTGGGTCTCACACACACTTCACATACACACCAAACAAAAGAATTGATTTCCTTAAATGAGAAGGGTCATCCTCTACCGTTCCTTTGCAGAAGATCGAGGAACATATTGGCTCTGGAATAAGGTCCTCCAGTGTCAAGACCATCTTGGGGGACCTGGAAAAGTCTCCCCTAGATGAGGTAATTACTGATAGCTGCAGAAAAAAAAAAAGAAATATATTTACCTTTAATTCCCACTTATTTGACATATAGTATATTTGTTTGTGTAAGGAACGATGTCTCTGTGTTCCTATGTCTGCAGTATTTCAAATAGTGTCAGAGAAGAGGAAGCCAGCCTGGCCCATTTCTTCACCTCCTTATATCCTCCCTTCTGGGAGTCCAAAATCTAATGACCCTGTAAGGCACTAGTTCTCAAGTTTCCTAGGGCTGTGGCCATCTGATGACCTATCTCATGTTGTGGTGAACCTGCACAGGAAATTTTTTCCCTTGCTATTTGATAACTGTCATTTTTCGAATCTTATGAATTATCATGTCTATATCTATGTTATCAGGAGGTGTTAAGTGAACCCCGTGAAAGACAGTCTTAGGTTTTCCAAATGGGTCACTAACCACCTGTTGAGAACCACTCTTTTCAAGGGTATGTGATAGTAAATTAGACTATGGAGACAAAAATCAGAAAGGGAGCTATTTGAATCAGAAAGATATAACCACACACAAATAAAGAGAGTAAATGTGAGAGAATCATGCAGTAGATAATGTCAACAGGAACCTACCAAACATTCTTGTATGACTTCAGTGGATTTATTTTAGGGGTGGAAATGTTTTGAAAGCATTCTTCTGTGCACTCTGTTTTTGGTGTGTTCACAGACATCCAGGGGCGCTTTGGATCCGCTGGCACTGCAGTTCCAGAAGGTTCTCAGCCAATATGTTGGTTCTGTGAATCAAAGCCAAAGCCTCTGCCCCAGCAAAATGTGGTATTCCCTGCTGAGTCATCTTTCCAGACCCCAGAATCAATATGTTTCTTATGCACCTGTTCATAAGCAAAGACCAAATGTCCTTAGTATAAACAATGAGTCAGCTCAGGGGGGTTGCCAAAATTTTATACCCTAGGCTTCTTCAGCCTGCTGGTATGAAACATTGAAATGCAGAGAACTTATTGGCAGGAAGAACATGAATAGGAGGTGGTCTTGTTGGTACACTCCTCTAATCTGTGCACTCATAATGCAGAGGACACTGGTCTCGTTGAGATCACGGATAATCTGTTCTCAAATTATTTGGTGATTGGGAAAAGGCAAGAAACTGTTTGCCACAGCAGAAGTGTGCAGGTGCAAGGATAATTTTTAGGAGTTGTTTCTATCCTCTCA